CGCGCGTGCCGCAGGCGATGGCGCAATTTGTTCTAAAAATAGAATTATTGTCCCATATCATGGGGACAACCCCAATACTAGAAATGGAGCGCGCTTACGGTCTCCGTCCCCGATTATGGCTCCTGATATAAACTAAATGAAAAACAACAACAACAACAAACTCAAAACATTGTATCAATCTGGCAACAAATTAAGAAATAGATTCTATTTTGCCGTGCGTCTGTTCAGTAATTGATCACAGATGACTTCAAGAAGTGGAAAAACTTAAAAAAAAAGTGGCAGGAGAGTTCTTAGGCGAGTTAGTGTGCCACTTTTTGGTTGTTACTACATTTTGACGTCATCTGTAATCTATTACTGAACAGACGCACGGTAACATGGAATCTACTTGTTTTATATAATAAAGAAACACAAAAAATTGTTTGCAACGTCATCTATGCGTCTGTCCTCCAATAGATCACAAGTAGGGACCAATCAAAGTGCGAGAAAAATTCCACATATTATTTAAGGACATAAATTCGTCATGTTATATAAGGAATATAACCTTAATCCTATCGCACATAAAGGTGCCTAAACTAGCGGGTAGCTGGCCCTTGTAGCGATTCCACACTGGTTGTTTTTGTTCCTAGTCATCATGACGTAACCTTCCATTCCCCAGCTAGTCCCCCAGGAGTTCTTTACCAGCCAGTAGTCCTGGCCTTCGTAGGTTCCATATCCAACAGCGAGCACCTCATGATTCAAAAATGTGCTACTGCAGGCACTGAAATGAGAAATTAAATGATAAGGCTTCCACATGATGGCGATTTGCCTGACAGCGAATGTAGTTCGTATTGTGAAGCACGTCATGTAACATCTGCACAGGAGCTAGGGGGGATAATTTAAGACAGACGTGTTCCATGTAACATACTGAAAGTTTAAAGTTAGAATTCTTGCTCTATAGGTTTTATTTCAAGGCGAATATGGCAAGGAAACGCGAACGAAAATGTTGCTGGCATGAGCAAAATGCCACTAGAGTGTCATGTACAGCCTCAGAAGTAAAAAACACCAGACTAGAATAACTTACTCCAGGCTTGTATCTTACTGACGTTGTTGTTGTTGTTGTTGTTGATAATGATAATGATGATAATGACGACAATGATGGAACAGAGATTTACTGCCGTGTTAAAGAAAATATGCACTTACGGCTCGTTGTAGACTCCTTTGTGATAAAAATGGAATGACTCGTGCCAAACATCAATCCAGACAGATATTGGGCCGACAGTGGCTACAGCAGACTGAAGGGCAGATTCGTTTCCACTTTGGATATCCGTGTAGCCTAATAAAAAAAAGAATGCCAATTACTCTTAGCCTTTAAGAAAACCAAGTTCTAACTTCGGCAAGCTAAACGTTTTCAACCAAAACTTCGGTAATTATCGGAAGTGTTTGGCAAAGATCGTCGGCTCACCCGTCACAGTGGCACCAACATCAGCTTTTAGGAAATGGCATCGCCCTTTTTCAGCTTTGTATGGGTAGCTGGCCTCAGTGTCAATACCGCCGTTGTCTTTAATGTACCTGGCAAATAAATAACGTATTAACCCAAAGATTCTCATATAAATAATTATATCATACGGCATTAAATCTTTATATTTGTTATAATAAATATTTCAGATTTAGATCACAGTTTCAGCAACAACCTTCTTTTCGATTTGAAATTTATAATCCAAGATAAACGCAATGGTTCATTTTTAGAATTTCTGAAAAAGTTTTACACTTGTTTTATTTTTGTTTATAGGAGAAATTGGACACTCGCAGACCTACTCTTGCAAACTAATAAGAGAGGGAAATTCAGTGTTTCATACCAAAAAAAGAACATTTATATGTGACTTTCAGGGGTTCATTAGTTACAGTCAACTCAAGGAGATTAAGTCAGATCGAGTAAAAATTACTCAAACGCTTTATCCACGTATCCACCCAAACAGCCAAAATTTCCATATTTTGTGGAGCAGTCGACCAGATTCTGTTCACTGAGGGAGACGAGTTTCCCTGTTTTCTTGAAGTGCTGTCCTTCCAGTGATCCGGTTGCGCTAAACGCCCAGCAAGAACCGCAACGGCCTGAAAAAATTGACAAAGAGTACAATCAGTGTTAAGGCGAAAATGCACAAAATCAAAAGAAGACGAAGGGGAGGAAGAAGAAGAAGAAGAAGAAGAAGAAGAAGAAGAAGAAGAAGAAGAAGAAGAAGTAGGAGAAGGAAAAGAAGAAGAATAAGAAGAATGAGAAGGAGAAGGAGAAGGAGAAGGAGAAGAAAAAGAAGAGAACGAAGAAGGAGATGATGATGAATATTATGGTAATGATGATGGAGGAGGAAAGGAGGACAGAAACGTACCCTGATTCTTCACAGGAGTGACGTATCCCTTGGTTCTCCAGTCAACAGTATCAGGTAAAGTTACTCCACTGGGAGGAAGGAAAGACGACCCATGTTGTTTTGTTCTGTCGGAAAAGTGAGAACGAAGTCCCAGGAAGAAGAAACGATATTCATCGACTGTCAGGTCACCGAACTGGTTCATGGCCAGGGTGTACGAGTGTCTTTCGGAGTTGTGTTGTTGAATTTTCTAGAAATACAACAGATATAGGACAATTACGAAAAGATACTGAGAAAAATTGTTTGCGATAAACATTTCAGCAGTCCAACAAAACTTCCTTCATCGCGGACCTCTGTGCTTCATTTTCGTTTTCTAAACCAAGTGATAATGGCTATGAATGCAGGACCAAAAATAAAACTAGTAAAAAAAAATTCAGTATCAACGCCAGTGAAACTGGCTACGTAACAACTTTATTTCTCCCATGACGTCAAGAAAAAATAAGCTTTCTGATGGTGATATGCAAAAATTAGTTAGAGTGAATAAGGCAGTGTCCGTCACTGCTCTGTCTTCACGTTGCATTGGTATCGCACTTCGCGCTCTTAGTTGTTTCGAGACTTTGAAACGTAAATTGAAACATATTCCAAGTCTTTGGAAACTTGAACGCCAATATCAACGAGACTGAGAAAAGATCTTTGAACACTCGCCTCTAAAAACAGGGAATAGTGATTCACCAGCAGAAAACTCGTGTGAGATTTGAACTAATCCGTCTATCGGCGATCTTTGCGTTGTAACAGAAGTGGTACACTACAAATATGCTAACAAAGTTACTACCAGAGTTCGAGATGAACTGCAAATGTATGTTCTTATCAAGGAAAAAAACAACTTACATCACAGCTTAAAATCCAAAGTTAACTCTTGCATGATGAAAATTTATTGGCATCATTTTTAAAACGTTTACATACCCTCAAGTTATCTCTCCAAATCGCATAACGAGCCTCTTCTTCGGTATCAGTCTCGTATTTCTTGTCATGAAATGTTTTCCAAGCCTGCCACTCTTGCTTGTATTCATCAAACTTCAGAACAGCGCAGCTTGCAACGGATAAGCAAAGCACAAATGCGACAACTCCCTTCATTTTGACGGCGCGTAACTTCTTACCTATCCCGCGTCAAAACTGAAAATGCTGCTAACTCCGGATGCTGCCAGTTTATTACACCGTGAAGAAAAAAGTCACCAGATCAAAATAACCATTAGAAAATAGCCCAAAGAAGATACGCGCGCTGATTGGTTTAAAATCGTGTCTCTATAACTCGACGGAAACACAGAACTAGGATGAGCTGCTGACGGAATGATGGCGCGAGCAAAGAGAATTTACATTTAAATGATCAAAGTAAACAAGTTGTTTTTCTTTTTTTCGAAACTCGATGGTCCACAGTGTAAGGTCACAGTCCACAGGATATTATCCGAGCCAGAAATAGGCTTTTGCTTTGATGCTATCTTTAGCTTTTCATAGTCTTCTTGGCAGCCGTTACGACCCAAATAACGGCTGCCAAAGAGACTAGGCTTGTCATGCATTCCTCTAAAACAAAGTGTGGGAAAAAGGCTATAAAACCGGTCCCTTGAAAATACAGTTTTAGCGCGAATGCAGGGTGTACCTTCCTTAGCAAAACCACAAAAACCGTAAAATGCATTGGACAGAAACCGAAAACCAAAGACTAAATCGGAGAAAACCCGCAAACCGCACAAGACACCAAAACCAAAAAACTGCGGTTTTTAAGTGCGAAGACGAAAAACCCAACTAAAAATTAGCCAAATCCGAAAAATCGAAAATCCCACAGAAGCTATATTTCGGCAAGAGCTATACCATCATCAGAGTAGAATATGCGCACAAGGTAGCTCTTTAATATGGTGTTAATAACAATGAAGAAACGAAACAAAAAGTAATACTCGTGGAAAAAGGCAAAATTCTCTGCTGGAGTCGAGTGCTTTGTTGAGGGAAGGTGTAACGCGTTGATGAAATATATATGCCTCTTTGTATAGGAGACGATTCCAATTGCTGTCGCAGTCTAATACTGTGGTGGTGTTTCTGACTAATTGTGTAAAATATTCTTTGTCACAAGATTCCTTCTTTATTCAAATCTTTGCCTGGCAGGAAAGCTGGATTCAGCACAAGGTTCTTCAGCATCCCCATTTCTCAACAGTGTTAATGAATATAAAGAAAACCGTCTTCGAAAAGGCAGAGGTATCAGTTTTATTCTACGACTTGTGAAATCGCTAAGCCTGTGCAAACCTTGTGCATTAGTGCTATTCGGGTCTTTATTCGCCCTATACGCGCTATATAGTGCTCACGTTTTCTTTCTCCTTGCTAAAACAACGTCAGCACTAAGCTATTAATACCCATAAGACCAATTTACATGGTAAGGGAAGTCCTTCTTAATGAGTGAGTTGCCAGCAATCAGATCGAATACCCGTGTTTGCGCAAATAACTCTGGGATCGTCAGGGGGCAAACATTGCAAGTTGCTAGAAGAACTATCAAACAAGATAAATGTTCTGCAAGAATTCGATTCTAGGTTACACATCTGTTTCGAGAAAGGTTGTGTTAAAGCGTACGCTACAAATGGGTAATGTTGATCACGATTGCTTGATTTCGTGATTTTACATGTATTTATTTCACTTAATGTATTTTAGTTCAGTATTATACTCGACCCCACAAGCTTTGTAGCTTAAACTCTTATCGTTTCGAAATAAAGATTTTTTGTTTTTATGTTTATTGAAGCTCGAGGTGTCAGTTAAGTGTGATAGGAAAAAGCGCTAACACGTGTATTCAGGCTTTGGGTTCTTTCTTCTTGCTGAAGGAAGCAATGCCAACACGCGTTAGTGCTCAAGTTTTCTTCCTCCTTGCTAAAACAACGTCAACACTAAACTATTAATACCCATAAGACCAATCAGCATGGTAAGGGAAGTCCTTCTTAATGAATGAGTTGTCCGTAGGATTGGACACCCGCAAAGAACTCTGGGATCGTCCGGGGGCAAGCATTACAAGTCGTTAAAAGGAAATGTCTAACGATAAGTTGTTTCGACTTACAAAAATACAATTTTCGAGAGATTATCGCTTTTTCGCCGTTGTTTTGTCGCAAATGGATTCATAGGCCATGAATTTGTTGCTAAGGAAGGTTTCTAACCGTCATATTTTGAAAACCAGACCTCTTAAGGATAAGCTTTTTGCACAGGTTTGTTCCATTGAAGACTTCTGGAAAAGTTTCAAATCACGGCCATATTTGACCAGCCACGTGACCAGGAGAGAAAAAACCTTAAAATTAAAAAGGCATCTAAATCCGAAAATTTGAATCAGTGTCAATAGATTACGAACATCCACGTGCTTAATGCCACTTATGGGTTTTATGAAACTCGCATTATCATAAAAGTTATGAGGAAATAAACAACATATTAACACTTTTGTACAGTAGCTTTGCTCTTTTACATATAAACAATAACTCCTTACGTACGATTATAAAGAAGGCCAATTTATTTCTGATTCATAAGAAAAGTCGAACTCTTTCCCTTTCCTTCCGAATTTTAGGGATTTAAAATTCTAACGCTCGGTTTTGGACTAGCACTAGTTACGCACGCGAAATCATATTTTTTTTCATTTAGTACTACAAAACGCTCCAAAATAGCTTTGCTCTAAATATCGCCTTCAGCAGCTATCCTTCTAAATATGTAGTTAAGAAGGACCCCTCTTGATTGCAGTGGCTATATGCCCTTTAAATGGCAAAATCCCTCTTTCATATCACATGGTCATTTGTTTACTTTAGAATACAAGTAAAAATACATTTTTTCTTTAAATGATACCTAAAATTCTTTTCTCAAGTGCATAGGGGCTAGGCACAGCATGTGATACTTTGACAGCCCGGTGTCAAGTTACAATCATAACTAACACAGCATTGAAATATATATTTTTGTAATGTGCAAGCAAGTAACGTTTCAGTGATATATAGTTTGTTAGGGTTTTGATGAAAATCACGGTTGTGACAACTGTGCAAAAAAGGGGCATATTTCAGGTAGAACCCCTCCTTCCTCCTACTACTTGCCCTCTTTTCATGAAATAACTTTGAGAACCGTACCCCCCGATGTTTTTGCAATGATTATAAGTGCAAAATGATCATATTGTGACCAATAATATTATCAGTGCAAAATGATCATATTGTGACCAATAATCAGGCGTTGTGACGTCACTTATGACGTCATGTACTGATAATTCAAGCACTAGAACAAATGGACATTTTGTTTGTAGTTCCGATACGTTTAAAATTTACATTTGAGACACATTGAAGGAATACAGACCACTTTGGAACCTTCCCCAAAAATCCAAGATGGCGGCAAAAGAAGGGTACGTGGGGCAAAATTTAAAATTCGATTTACAAAGTGAAAGCTACCATTCTTTCCTTGCTATCATACATTTTTATGATGCTTAATAGTCAAAGATTAAGATAAGATATGTTTCGGCTGTTCCCCTCTAGTGAGCCATAAACCCAAATTTTCGGCTCTCAGCTGATGGACTAGGTCACAGATGACTTCAAAATGTGATAAGAACAAAAAAGTGGCACACGAGCCGTTAGGCGAGTGTGTCACTGTTTTACCACATTCGACGTCTTCTGTGATCTATTACTGAACAGACGCACGGCAACATGGAATCTATCGATAACAAAAGAAACAAAAAATTGTTAATGACGTCATCTATGCGTCTGTCCTCCAATAGATCAAAAGTAGGAACCAATCAAAGTGCGAGAAAAATTCGACATATTATATAAGGAATATAACCATAATCTTATCGCACATAAAGGTGCCTAAACTAGCGGGTAGCTGGCGCTTGTAGCGATTCCACACTGGTTGTTTTTGTTCCTGGTCATCATGACGTAACCTTCCATTCCCCAGCCAGTCCCCCAGGAGTTCTTGACCAGCCAGTAGTCTTTACCTTGGTAGGTTCCATATCCAACAGCAAGCACACCATGATCCAGATGAGTGCTATTGCAGGCACTGAAATGATAAATGAAACGATAAGGCTTCGACGTGATTGCGATTTGCCTGACAGCGGTTGTAGCTCGTATTGTCATGCACTCCATTAACATCTACACCGGAGGCCGGGGGATAATTTAAGAAGGACATGTTCCATGAAACACATTGAAAGTTTAAAGTTCACCTTCTCGCTCTATATTTTTTCAAGGCAAATATGGCAAGGGAACGCAAACGAAAATGTTGCTGGCATAATTAGAATCCACTAGGGTGTCATGTACAGCCTCAGAAGTAAGAAACACCAGACTAGAATAACTTACTCCAGCTCCCAGGCTTGTACCTTACTGACGTTGTTGCTGTTGATGATGGTAATGATAATGATGATAATGACGATGATGATGGAACAAAGATTTATTGCTGTGTTAAAAAACAAGTACTTACGGCTCATTGTAGACTCCTTTGTGATAAAAATGAAATGATTGGTGACTGGCATCAATGGCGACAGATATTGGGCCGACAGTGGCTACAGCATACTGAAGGGCAGATTCGCTTCCACTTTGGATATCCGTGTAACCTAATCAAAAAAATAACGCCAATAACTCCTAGCCTTTTAGTAAATCGAATCCAAATTTCGGCATGCTGAACGTTTTCAGCTAAGACTCGTGTAATTATCGAAAATGTTCGGCAAAGCTCGTCGACTCACCAGTGACAGTGGCACCAACATCAGCTTTTCGGAAATGGCATCGCTCTTGTTTAGCTTTGTATGGGTAGCTCTCCTCAGTGTCAATACCGCCGTTGTCCTTAATGTACCTGGCAAATAAATAACGTATTAACCCAAAGACTCTCATATATATAATTATATCATACAGCATTAAATCTTTTGTCATGATAGATATTTCAGATTTAGATCACAGTTTCAGGAACACGCTTCTTTTCAATTTGAAATTTAAAATCCAAGATAAACGGAAAGGTTCATTTTTATAATTTCTGAAAAAGTTTTACACCTGTTTTATTTTTGTTTATAGGTGAAATTAGGCACTCGCAGGCCTACTCTTACAAAGTAATAAGAGAGGGAAATTTAGTGTTTCAGACCATCAGCAAAAACATATATATATGACTTTCAGGCTTTCAGGAACTCATTAGTTACAGTCAACTCAAGGAGATTAAGGCCAGAGCCCATTTCTATTTCATCCTACTACATTTTGTTTCTTCGCTTACTCAAAGGTTTTATCTACGTATCCACCCTGACAGCCCAAATTTCCATATTTTGTGGAGCAGTCGACCAAATTCTGTTCAC